AGACGGAGGGAAGTTCAAGAAACACAAGAGCCGGGAGACAAAGAGAAGGGAAGACGAGCAACAAAGAGCCTAAGCTGTAATCGAACCTGGCAAGGCTTTAACCTCATTACAGGCCGTGCACGCCCTCCCAGGTGAGCTGCACATCTCCCAGGTGAGCCGCACGCTCTCCCAGGTGGGGCTGCACATCTCCCAGGTGAGCCAAACGCTCTCCCAGGTGAACCAAACGCCCTCTCAGGTGAGCCGCACATCTCCCAGGTGAGCCGCACGCCCTCCCAGGTGAGCCGCACGCCCTCCCAGGTGAGCCAAACGCCCTCTCAGGTGAGCTGCACCTTTAACGCCGTTTTCTGAAGCTTTGAGGAGCACAGCGGCCTCGATAATCACGAACTGGAGGAACTGTGGAACCACCGGGACGGGAGTTGACCTTTTGACCCAAATGAGCGATCAGGAGAGAAGTGATTTGGTCAGACAGGTGACCGAGAACATCCCAGAAGCTCTCAGCAGAGATGGAGAACATGCAGCAGCTCTTCACCGATCAGGCCTCTGTGGACGAAGACAGAAGACACTCAGACACTCAGACACTCAGATGCTATAGTCTGCTCACCAAACAGCTGTTAAGAGACTCAGACAGGAGGAAGATGATGAGGAGGTCTGATGAGATGATGATGAGACTCTTTGGGCAGACGCTGCTCATCACGTTAGCGTCCCTGCCTGGTGTCAGCATCACGCCTGCAGGGAGCATGAAGGCAGCACAGGAGTGGCTTCAGGACACATCTGTCACCGTCCCGGAGCCAAAGGCCGGACTTAAACCCTTCAGAACATCTTTGGACTCGGCTGATGGCGGCGGTTCACAGATGCTTTCACACCAGGAAGACAAACGGCACAAATCCAGGTGTGGAGACTCGAGGCTGCAGCTGACAGGAGCTTCGATGAAGCTCTTCATCATATCAGTGGATGAATCCGTCTGTAATGAGTCAGTTTTTGACATTTAATAAAGAGCAGAGGGTCGACTGATGGTGTGAAACGTCTGGGCTACACCACGGCGTGTGCAGGAGGAGAAGAAGTTCAACTTTAACAGATCAAAGAGTTTCTAAACATTCTGCACATTATGATCGATGAGGGGAACAAAAACTAGATTAAATGTTTTATGTGTGTTTCTTCTATTAAAGTGAAGTGAGAAGGAGGTTTTGTTTTTGTCTGATCTGCTCAGACAGACGGTGAGACGAGGCCGAAGCCTGCAGCTGTGAGCGGTGAGGAAGCTGCTCGATAAGATCTGAGACGACGAGAAGCTCCGGCAGGTATGAATGGCTGTTAGTGTTTCACTGGAAGGAGTCTCACACTAAAGATCTCTGTTTACGCTTTGTGTCACTGGAGGTCTGGAGGTCAGAACTCGTATCGTCCTCATTCCAGGTCAAACTTAGACATCAGCTAAACACAGAAGACACGCGTCCTTCATTTAAACCATAAAGCTTGTTTCATGTTCTTCTCTTTGTCGTCGGCGTGTCTCATGAAAACACCGACGCTGTGAGTCCACCGGAGCTGAAGATAAACATCTCAGCATCTCACATGTGTGACGGTTTCACTTTTAGAAAAGCTTTTAGTCACTTCCTGAGACGCTGTCGTTTGCATGAAATGTTCAAAAAGGAAGCAGCAGAACATTTACATGGGACTATTTTCAGCGGCGGATTAATACTCCGAGTTTTATTTATTCATAGCAGGTGTGTAGTTTAAAGTGGGACAGTTTTCTTTTCTTTTATGAACAAATCTCTCTTCAGACTTGAACAGTTTGTCCAGTCCAACTAGAATCATGTGTTTTAAGTAAATCTGTTCAATCTGAAATCTGTAGAAATTAATTTAAGTTTTATTGGAATTAACTTCATCTGAGTGGAACACTGACTTCAGGATTAAAACATGTGAGCAAAGGATTTAAGATATTTGATCATATTCCTGTTTATTCCTAATCTGCATAAGCAAACAGCAGTGGGTGTATTATGCTTTAGTTTCCTGCTTTAACTCTGTTTTCAGTCATTATCTTTATATACGAGATCTGCCACTGCTGTTTACTGAGTATGAACCTATGAGGACAAATCAGTTCTGTTCCAGCATTTCACTTGTTGATATGAGTAGTTTTTATGCATAAATGTTTAGTTTTCTATAAAGCTTTTAGACTAAATAGAATATTTTTGGTGTAGTTTAAGAGATTCACAGTTCGATGGTTGTTTAAAAGTTGACTTGAGGTTCTTAATTAAGCTGCTGGATCCAGGCCATATATATATATATATATAAATATATATATATATATTACTATAAAAGCACAACGATTCAACAACAGGCCAAACTGAACCATTCTGGGCTCCACTGGTGAAGACTTTTGAGTCTCCTTGTTTCCATCAGCAGTCCAGAGTCTGAACGTCTGATTGATTTTATCATCAAGAAGAGAACAAACACTGATGATCCTGTTAAAAGCTCCACACCTGCAGCTCCACCAAACAAATCAAACCCCGACGTTCACGTTAGTCAGTCGTACTGAGGAGGCCTCTGGTGTGTGAAGGTTGCTGTTTTATGACAGAACCAACCTGCGTGTAGAAGGTTGATGTCTGAACCTGTCGTGTGGTTTTAAAGGAGCTTCTCGCTTGTCAGCATGTTGGCTGCTGAGATATCTGCTGACGGTTTGAGGAGTGATCCTGTGACCTTAGCTCTGGACAACCAGAGGCTTCTGTTTATCTTCCAGCAGATACCCGGTGTTGACACCAGAACCAGGGCTGATAGGACCGGCTGTCAGCTGCTCTGGTTTTGCTGAGAGCATGTTTGATAGAAGAGGGCTCAGCTCGACCCGACAGGAGGCGGATGGGTTCAGATATGAATCAGACAGCAAACTTCTCTGCTTCCTGGAGTCATAACTTTACTCTAACTGTATTTTTAATGATGCTTAAATTCCCAAAAAATGTCAGATCAGTTGCCATGACGACCAGCCACCACCATGGATAATAATTTATTGTTTTTATTGGTGATTAGCTGATATGTCCCTGTGTTGGATGATGGACTTAATTCACTAGAAACCTAACATTAGCTGGAGCATGAAAACCACTGATGTCCACGAGGTTTATCTTTATAAAGATAAGTATGAGTATACTCTCTAAGGTCAGACTGTGGCAGACTGTCAATCATTAAAATGTTTGTTTTTTTTAATTTTTAAAAATATTTTTCCATATTTCTATCATGTAAACAATCATAAAGTTTCTATATGCACGATGATCATTGAAAACGAACCCTTTAAAGCTCTGATTCAGATTTTCTCTGAGCAGTTCAGGTGATTGAGGTCCGACTGATTAAAGGATCTGATTGAATTAAACATCCTGCAGGCCAGAGGGCAGAACCTCTGTGATGAACTCTGAGGTCTGAACGTCCAGATCAGGAAGGAGGAGGAGGAGGAGGAGTGTCGGGAGCGCGCCCGGCTGGAGGCGCTCCGCTGCTGTTCTGCTCTCCGGTTGGCTGGCTGCGGAGCGGGAGCGCGCCCGGGCGGCTCCGTAAAGAAAAAAAAAAAGCAGCAGTGATCTCGGTGTGACAGCTCAGAGCTGTCCACGTCAACACACCGAGCGGCGGCGGCGGCAGCAGCGATGGACTCCACGTCTCTGGTGAGCCTCCCCCCACCGGGGCACCGGGGCACCGGGCGCCTCCGCTGCACGGCTGGTTCGGCTGGTTCGGGTTTGTGCATGTTGGGCTGGTTGTGGATCAGCTGTTTGCGGACATTTGTTGCGTTACGGCGGTGTGAGGGGGGAGGAGGGGGAGGAGGGGGGAGGCGGCAGATCGCCTTTAATCAGGAGCTGCTTTAATTTATCGTTAATGTCACGGAGATGTGCGCGTGCAGCCGTCACGTTGTGCCCGTGTGGACGCGCGAGGCCCGATCCCAGCGCTGTTTGTCATGTGCGCGTGTTTTTCTGCTTTTACCTGCCACGCGTGTAAAACAGTCGTCCGCGCGACAACTTGTCAGGGTGTTAAGTTAACTCCATTACAGCCCGGGCCCGGTCCGGCTCGGTCCGGCGCGACCGGAGCGCAACAGGACGGAGTGAAGAAGCTGCTGCTGGAGGAGCCACTTGTGGAGAGACTCCCGGTAGGAGCAGCACCGGAGCCGCTCTGCGCGTTTAAATGTCCGCCGGTAGCGAGCATATGTGCACTGACGTGTAGCGCCGAGTAGGTGCCACGTCCACGGCTCGCTCTGCGCGCAGCCTTCACCCAGCCTCCCTCTCTCTCTCTCTCTCTCTCTCTCTCTCTNGGCTGAGGCTGATGGGAGCGTTATTTGTTTAGCAGACACAGTGAAACCTGTGAACCTAATTTAAAAGCACAATGCCATTTCTACAAACACGACTAACGATGCTAACCTACAACATAACCTTACTTTATGATTAAGTTACCTTTAATGGCCACCAACGGCCATTTATATTAAAATAAACTCCCCTAAACCCACCAACGCTGCATTCAGATCAGTTTATTCTCTTGTATGTGGTTACTCTTAATAAAATGTTTGCTTTTGTCTGGTGCGACTACACTGGTTAGCACTGAGCTAACAACAGGAGAAAGGAGTTTTTCCTGTTTTCCTGATGACATAACGTGATTAAAGCTAAAGTGCCACCCTTATACATTTATGTAATAACCTTGTAATGCCGTGTGCAGGGCCAGATTTCAATACATCCTGGAATTAGGTTTCATTTTTCAAAAAAAAATACCAAAAGAAACCCTTGATTGCACCACTACCGAAGCTAATCCGAAGCTAGGCGAGCCCAAACGTGACATCTTGTCAGTTGGCTTCTTCCTTTAGGCACCGCAAAAGGCTGCACCGGATTTCATAGCCATCCGTGTCAAGACATTTCAGTCTGGACCAAAGCGGCGAGCTGACCCACCACGGCCGCCGTTCATGGCCAGAAAACGGCTAAAAACAGAGAAAATTACAAAGAAGACAATCGCAAAAATACTCAAACCACAAGTGCTGCAGGGCGGCCAGCAAACCGGTCAGTGGTCACTGGTGGTGACAGAGATTTAAGCTAGAGAGGGATTAGGAGGACATTCAGTTATTCATTTGCTCCTGTAGCTTCTCCCAGCAGCACTGGGCCACTGGACAGAACCACTGGGCAGAACCACTGGACAGAACCACTGGGCAGAACCACTGACCAGCAGAGGAGGACGTAACAGGCCGCTCTGTGGGCGAAGCCTCTAATTCTGGGCTTCAGGATTAGCTTTAAACACGCATCACGTCTGCTCCCATTGGGCCTCAGCACAGAGTCCAACTGGTTCTGAACTGGTTCTTCAGATCTTGTAGCTTTAGCTACACGGTGCAGTCGAAGGACTTTTGGAGAAAGTTTCCGTTACAGAATGAAGACGTAACTTTAGAAGAAATATGGAAGTATTTCTAGAGTCTAATTTGGTACGTAAGAGTTTTTTACATAAAGTTATAAAGTTGTTTGGAGATAAATGTTTAATTGTTTGAGAAAAAGATGTAATATTAAAAAAAATTACAGATTTTTTTTATTTTAAAGGAAAATGTGGTAAAACAGTTTGTTTTTTATGAGAAAACTATTCAAATATTATTAATTTAAAATAAAATAAAACAAGAAAACATTTCTGGTATTTTTTTTTATAAGTCGTAACGTTCTGAGAACTGAATATTAACATAACTGAACATATTCTAATTTTCCATGACAGGAAGCAGGACGAGCAGCTGTACCGTGGAGCTCACCTGGACGGAGGGTTTTATTCATATTAACTGGTTTATTCTCACAGATTTGGGGAAACTGAACTAAGAAGCGTTGCTGATGTTCGCTGTGAGTCAGAGACTGAAGCTCGGTGGACTTTCTGGTTCCTTCAGAACCGCTGCAGCGTCAGAACGGATCAAACCGACTTTACAGCCAGAAAAACAAACCGTGCAGCCAGTTCTTCTAACGTTACACCTTCTTCCTGTAAAACTTTATTCTCCAAATGCACCAAATACAAATAAGTTACGACACCTTCCAGAACCTCCTCATACCTGAGGACGCTGTGGCTGCATCACCTGGTTCAGAAACACACCTGGAGCGCGACAACCAGCTTAAAGTGCAAAGAAACTGTCTCATGTCTGCTTGTTGGCTTCTGTGCCTGGTTCCTCCTGTTAGTTATCGACCACAGCTTCATTTAATGTTTTCTGTCTCCTGCTCCTCCTCTGCAGTGATGTTCTTGTTCTGCTCCTCATCTCTCCGTCTCTCACCTGTCCTCCTCCTCCTCCTTCCTCCTTCCTCCTTCCTCCTCTCTAGGATCCAGCCTCCTGCTCCTGTCCCAGAGCCTCCAGCAGCAGTCCCATGGGCGTCCTCTTCAGACCGATGCTCTCCAGCTTGTTCTCCAGCTTGTTCTTCAGGCTGCGCAGCCTCACCGACGCGTGAACCAGAACCACTGGGACAGAATCAGACAAGCAGAGGGATGAAGAAGCAGCAGAATCTAGATTTAAAATTCTTTGTGAATGTTCTGGTTGCTCCGTGAGCTGAGATGGTGTTCTGAGGATAATGCAGCTTTTCTTTAACCTGAGCAGCGACTAGCGTCGTTGCTAATTAGAGCGCTACGAGAACTTGGCAGGATTTCATTGAGGACATCATTTGTGCACAAGAGGGAATTATTTCAGGCAGAATAGCTGCTGAGGGGCGTATTTGTAGAGTAATGTTTTAGGTTTAGCAGTCAGAGTTGGAGCTACAATGAATGAATGCATCATGTTTGGTCAAAAAACATCTGCAGAGACGAGATCCAAGAGGCAGCAACAAAACAAGCCTCATGGAAGTTCAAGGACAGAAACACGTGACTGAGGAGCTTCAGACAGAACCTGAGGAGTGATCAGCTTGTCTACAGCGGAGCTTCGTTAAAGTCAGAGAACCCCATAATGAACGGCTCTCTGTGTCAAAGCTTGGAAATATAAAACCAGAACTTCCTGTGTGTTCGGATAGAGACAGCTACCAGGAAACTCAT